CCCAGCCAATAAGATTCATCGGCGGACGGAGCGCGGCGACGCAATCCGAATTCCGGTCGCCATCTTGTTCAAGAGTGACGTCGGAACTTTAGAAATATTTGATGGCATTGGCGTTCCCCTCCGGTCCGGATCATCAGAGCGGCAGTAATGTTTGGTTATGACCAGGGCTGGGATCTCCCACAAGGCCAACCGTAGGCCTCCTCGCGGCGGCAGGGATTCCCGTCGCCCTGGACATGAAGTTCGCCGGCGCCGGGCGGGTAGTTGTTTTGTACATTTAGGACTGCTTTGGGCAAGCAGAGCTAAATACGCAGCGCGGCCTGCCAGTCCGTCCTCCCCCAAACCCCTCCAACAGCACCGCGCCGGCTACCTCTCTCCCCGCCTGGGATCTTCAGGATGGAGAGTGGGGAGCAGAGCGGAGAATGTCTGCTCTCCGCTCCATGTAAACACTGCGCTCGCAGCGCTTCCCCTCTCACCTGTCACAGGATTTCCTGCTCAGCGCTGTGCTAGAACTCCTGTATTGGAGGGGACAGGTTCAATAAAGAGAACCCGTCACCTCCAAATGCTATCACACGGGGGGCTTGTTAGCTCCTGTGTGATAGCATTAAAGATAAGTGGGAAAAAATTAAAATGATAATTTATCAAATAAATTTTAAAAAAATAACATTAAAATAAATATGCCGCCCCCGCCATTTGGTTGCCATTCTTCATTGGGGGGGGCATAGAGGAACCAACCCAGCCTTGGGGACGCAGAGAGTAAATCCGGCACTGCATATGACCCTCAAGATGAATTCCATATTAAGGAGGCCGTGGCACACCGTAACCGGTAGCAACCCAGTCAGAAATGTCAGGATAGGCTGGGCAATGACACTAGGGGTGAGCGAGGGGGGGGGGTGCATTGGAGGAACCAACTTGGCCTTGGGGCAGCAGAGAGAGTAAATCCGGCACTGCATATGACCCTCAAGCTGAATTCCATAGTAAAAGGAGGCCGTGACACACCGTAACCCGTAGCAACCCAGTCAGAAATGTCAGGATAGGCTGGGCGGGTGCTGCGGTAGTCAACGGGCGGCATCAGTTATAAATCACGGGTAAAGATAAAGACACCGGCACTCCAAATTCATACGCAAACGTCTATTTATTGACGTGCAGCATTGTAAATAGCAACAGACGTTTCGGGGGTCACAGACGATCCCCTTCCTCAGGCAAAAGCATGCTTTATGTGCCTGAGGAAGGGGATCCTCTGTGACCCCGAAACGTTCGTTGCCATTTACTA